ACTTCCTGGCAGATGCTGTAAAACGCCTCTAACATCATACGGTCCAGTGTGCCTTCCGTAAAAGCTATAATCCGTGCCCTAGACCTTAAACGAAACTGTATGAAAAGTTGAGGAAGAAAAGCTATTCTTTTGGGTTTATTCACTGTTGCTACCTGAGTGATATGACATTCCTTTATGCAACAATGTATTAAGCATAAAAAAGCACTCTAAATCAGTAGCGGCAGTTATGAAACCAATAATCCTCGTCGTTTTAATGTCGCAGATTGAGGTCATGAACTTCTTTTCTGTCCATTCCGTATTTGTAGGTCATGGAAAGGAACGGTAGGATTCATCGTTGATGCAATACTAGGGCAAAGGTGACGGTTGATCATGGTTTCAGTGCCCGGTCACGGGAAAAATTTTTGACGTTTTCTTCATGAGTCTAGGTTTGAAAAACCTAACCTAACACCTGTCTATTTGATTTGTCCAGTTATATTCTTGCCTGTTACAGTTTGAATCGATAATAGGCAGGACACTTTGCTTGAAAAACTGACCATCGTTGGATGAGAGAGACTTCAGACCGGGTTCCAACCGAGAGTAGTCGGACTGTAGGAATACCTGCAAACCATTAGCACAATGAGCTAAAGAAATTTGTTGGATCAGGATGGATAATTGTTTGCTACGACTTTGAACTAAGTTGTTAAATTTACCTTTGATGATGTTGCTTTAAGGATTGCCAGTGGTGCAATAATGAGCAAACACTCTATAATTCTGTAAGTAAAGTATTTACTTACGTAATGACAAGTGATGTTCTTTTGTTTGCATCCATGGAGCAGTAAAATATCATTTCAACACGACAGAGTAATAAAGGCAAATAAGACATAGACGATAAATTGATACAGGCAAAAATCCAGAAGTTTTGACCAAATCAGGGTTCACTTTCGTTCTGGTTGGTACTGTTATGAAAAAAGAGTAAATCTACTCCTTTGCTATTAACAATAAATCTAAACCACTCTCAAATTGGGAACTTTCAAAGTCAGTTAAATCCATGATTTGCATAAGAGTCACTGTTTTGTGAAGAATTTCATTTGATGCATAAATGTGAATCGTTTAGCGTTTTGAGGAATAGTCCTGCGGACGTCATCAAGGAGATTTTGCTGGTTGACGATTTCAGCGACAACGGTTTGGGGGTACAAGAGACGAAAACTTGACCTTAGATGTTATTGTTTAGTTGATGACGGTTCTGCGCTGGTGCAGATCGAGAAAGTGAGGCTTATTCGGAACTCAAAACGCGAAGGTAAGCGTAACGATATGGAAGATATAGATTATATATTGTCGATATGGAATTATATATTGACGATATGGAATAATATATTGGATTATATATTGGATTATATATTATTGGATTATATATTGGATTATATATTGACGATATGGAATAATATATTGTCGGTAGCATGTGAATATTCGTTTTTGTAAGGTTTTTGATAGTGTATGTTTTAGGCCTGGTGCGTTCAAGAATCATTGGTGTCGAAGCTGCTCAAAGCAAAATTCTTGTTTTCCTTGATAGTCATTGCGA